AGAATTAGGACAAACCGGGAAAAGGAAAGGGTGAAGCCGCGCTTTGTCTCTGCCTAGAGAAAAACGTGTCATCACATGTGTTTCATTCCAAGCTTTTTGTTGAGTGCATATACTGTAAAGTAGTTATGGAAGTGAATTGCAGTGGTGTACCGATTGCGTGTGTGGTGGCTGAATGTATTTATTCCGTAGGCATTTATTGAATGCCTGCTGCAAACAAGGAGGTGTGTCAGAGGATACATGGACACCAGAAGCTCGTCATCGGAGCCACAGAAAGCTGGTCCCAGTAGAAAAGAAAAGATGGTACACATAGGTCTGTGATGCCTAGTCAAGTGAGACCCCAGAAAATGTTGGGGTACTGGCTAAAAGTGCTGATCAGCCACGGAGAGAAGTCAGAGGAGCCAGCAGCATCCCTGGAGTGCCAGGCCATTTTGCCAAAATCAAACACTTCGTGTTAGCTTTATTAGAAACCTCCAAGAAAAATAAACAAGTAGCAATAAATCAAAGCAGCAATATGTTACAGCCTTAACCTACACAGCCCAAATGCTGTGATTGTATGATTCTAAATACAACCTCCCCCCAAACCTGGTCTCCCCAGTAACTTGCTGAGAATCACTGAATGGGAGGAAACATGCTGAGGGGTTTTGCCCTAGGAAGAGCCACCCTCCAATCATGCTGCCCACAAACGGAGTGGCCTACTTTCAAGAAGCCCCATCCCAGTCTCTGAAGTATCAAAGGAGGCTGCCAAGTGACATTTCCTTCGCTTCCTTTGGAGGCAGAGACAGCCCTGCCTTGGGAGCCAGAAGCCTAGGTTCCCACAGTGGCAGGGCTTCCAGAGCCCAGCTGTGAGCCTGAAACAAACCACTTTTTGCCTGTGAGGCTTAGTTTACCTCTCATTAACATTTTGGATCTGGGTTAGTTCTATACTTGTTGCACAAAAGTGCCTAGAGCAGGTAGAGCTTTGGGCTTTTCTGATTCTAATATTTTTAGATTAAAGGTGAGGAGCAGAGATGTGAGAAAAGATTTTTGTTGACACTTGTCCTACTGGGAAAATCAGATTGAAGCTGTAAGCAGATTTCAAGCATATTCAGTTATCGGCAGGATGTCGTTGATAGGTATCTATCAATTCAGACGGGACAGAAATTGTGAAATACGTGCTATTTCTGTACAACAGTGTGTAATTGCATTCCTAGTCGAGCGTCTCTTCTGCCACCACGCACCAATGCCAGTGCTCCATTGCTCCTGCCCCACTGGAGTAAATACATGGAAATGCCATCAGCAGCTGTAGGTAAAATTCTGCTGCTGTCGTTACTACCACCAAGAAGGCTGTTAGTGGCCCAGGATCCCGATTTCCAGCTCCACCAAAGCCAGAATTGGGGCGTAGGCAGTAGTACACGTTGTGCCCAGTGGAGGTGGGAAGGCACAGGGGGAAGGGGATGCCAAAGAGGCCCTCCAAGCTCATCAGGGAAACCGCGGGCTTAGGTCTGTCCTTCCCTGTGCTCCTCTTCTCTGTTTTCTCTGGTCTTTTTCCAACTGGCTCACCTCCACTTCCTCCAACAGGTCCGGGCTCACGTCCCCAACCCCTACCCCATCCTTGCTATCAGTTACTTCATTCTTTCAATGGATATGTTAACAAGAATATTTTTGAGCAATTACTAGTTACAAGGGGTGATTAAAAACTGAATCATAATATGGCTCTTCTCCTAGAGTGCTAAAAATCCTAAGAAGGGTAGGAAACTGCACTTATTAAAGCTTCTACCACGTGCCAGGGACTGTCACGCGGGATGTTTTGACATGTTGCCTCATGTAATTTTTTTTTAAGTGTCTGTTTATTTTTGAGAGAGAGAGAGAAACGGTGTGTGCATGCACCACTGGTGGAGGAGCAGAGAGAGAGAGACAGAGAGAGAGAGAGCGAGAGAGAGCGAATTCCAAGCAGGCTCTGTGCTGTCAGCACAGAGCCCGCCGTGGGGCTTGAACTCATGAACTCTGAGATCATGACCTGAGCTGAAATCAAGAGTCAGAGACTCAACCGGCTGAGCCAACCAGGCACTCTGCTTCTTTTAACAGCTCTGTGGTATAGGGTCGCTGCTGCTGCTGCTGTGTTTAACAGAGGAGGGACTGAAACCCCCGGGGCTGGGATTTTAGCTCATGCCTTTGCGCTACTTAAGGATGCTTTTCTTCAGGAGGGTGAAGAGGTGTGCAGAAACAACTGTAATTCATGGTAGAAAGCAGTGAGTGCTGTGGGACAGACTCCATGGATGGCTAAGGAATTTCACAAGACAGAGACACTGCTTCCGGGTACTGTGGCACACGCTCACCAAAGCGGAGTGGCCGCACCTCCAGTGGGAGCGTTTATACCATGGAAATGAGCAGTTGCTCTGAATCAGGGCTTCTTCTTTTTCTTTTTCTTTTTTTTTTTTTTTTTTCCTTTTAACCCACACACTTTGGCTTCCAGGTGAGAATAATGAGAGGAACATTTGGCAGAACAGGAGCTATGTGAGCAGAATTTGAAAGCATGGGGAAGATTTTTACTCACACATGTTGGGCAGGGGGTTCCCTCAGGAAATAGCAAGGGCGGGGACACTGGGGAAGGAAAGGATACCATAGGGCGTAGTGGGGATGCTTGTTTGGCTGGAGGAGCAGGGATTGCGGGGAGAAGGTATACATGTTGGAAAGGAAAGATTCTGGAAGGCCTTGAGGGTTGGTACAAACCAAGAGTCAGTCTGGTCCTGGTCAAGGTTCACTTTCTTTGCTAGCTCCTTACCAGTTGCCTCAGTCTCCATCTGTGCTTGTTCTGCTGGGGCTGGGAGTCCATACACTGCATAATCCAGCTGCTGGTAGGTCCTGCCAGTGGGAGGCCCCGGTGGGAGACCAGCAGGACGAAGAGACATCTGCTTCTGGCTCTTCCAATGTGGCCATGACGTTGCTAGCATTTGCTAGCGAAGGTGGGTGATTCCGGACCCCAGCCGTCCCGAGCCAGGCAACATCTTGTCAGAGAATCAAGGCCTCTCTTCTGGGCTGCTCCAGGGCTGACCACCCGTGGGTATTCACTGCTTCTCATCTCTGGGTATCACTCCATTCTTTCTTGTTCTTTCAGAATTCCTCTCCTTTGTCTTCTTAGGCCCTCCAACAGCTTTGTAACCGATCTCCTGCATTAAAGTCTGTATGTTTGAAATACTTACAGTAGTTTTCCTGACTAGACCTTGGCTGATACATCTTCTGGTAAGATATTTGAGAAAGAAGAGTCTCAGCTTTACTCTGGAGTTGCCTGTCATGAAGCCTCTCCTCCATGCCACTCCAGCTCTGTCACAGGTCACTGCTGTTTTCCTTCACTGGAGTCCCTCCGTAAAGGACATTACGTCCATGGGTCTCAGAAGAGGGACAAATGGGAGGTAGGTCTCTGTACTCAATCTCTTTGTTTCCTGCCCCAGTGTCACATCAGAATGAATGAGTGTACTGTACCTTCCATCAGGCATGGGGACACAGGAGGTTTTAATATGCCAGCCACCTAAATAGTCTGAAATTGTATATCTAACATTCCCATTCCTATGAGTCTGTAAAAAAATTTTTTTAATGTTTATTCATTTTTGAGAGGCAGAGAGAGTGTGAGTGGGGGAGGGAGAGAGAGAGAGGGAGACACAGAATCTGAAGCAGGCTCCAGGCTCTGAGCTGTCAGCACAGAGCCCAACGCAGGGCTCAGACCCATGAACCATGAGATCATGACCTGAGCCGAAGTCAGCTGCTCAACCAACTAAGCCACCCAGCCCCCCCCCCCCCCCGCCAATGAGTCTTTTTTTTTTTTAAAGTGTATTTACTTATTTTGAGAGAGAGAGAGAGCAAAGGCAGGGGAGGTCCAGAGAGAAGGAGAGACAGAATCCCAAGCAGGCTCTGCACCATCAGCACAGAGCCCAATGCGGGGCTCAAACTCACGAACTGTGAGATCACCACCTGAGCCAATATCAAGAGTCAGATGCCTAATCAACGCCGCCAGGTAACACTAATTATGATTCTTTCTTTTTTTTTTTTTTTCCCATGAGTCTTCTTTAAAAAATAGACTCTATTTTTTAGAACAGCTTTAGACTTAAAAAAAAAAAAAAAAGAACAGCTCTAGACTTGCAGAAAAATTGAGAAGATAATACAGAAAGTCCCCATGCACCCATTTCCCCCTGTTGTTGATATCTTGAATTCCCATAGGATTTACGTCCCTTCACATCAGGGCTTCATACTGTCAACATGATTTGGGACTGCTGATGTTGGCCTTGACTGCCAGGCTTAGGTGTGTTTTTCTGGTTTCTCACCTCTGTAGCTACTCTTTGTCCCCTTTCCATTCTGTCCTCTTTGCAAGAAAGCCATTCTGCACAGCTCGCACATACAAAGCGGGGAGTCACAAGTCACCTCCTTGAGGGTGTAGTATGTATTTGAATTATCTGGAACTCTTCCTGAAGGGACTTTTGTCTCTTCTACCCCATTCATAGACATCCAGTCATTTAATTATCCAATCCATCCTCCATGGGACTTGTGGCTGTTGATTTTGTACTTGGAGTTATAATGCCATACTGCTTTGTTTGTTTCATTGCTCAAATTGTCCCAGCTTGGGTCACTAGAAGCTCTTTGAATTGGCTCCTCTGCACCTTTGATACACTCTCTTCATTGTAGTTACTTTGCGTTTGTTGGTTTAGTTTCCTGGGGCTACAAGTGCTCCAGGTTCATCTTGTATACTTCCTGCCCCAGCCCCAGAATCAGCTATTTCTCCAAAGAGTCCTCGTTCCTTTTATTGGAGAATGATACTGGAAACCACCGTCTGGGTGCTGGATGTGCTAGTACAGGAGTGTTGTTGTTTCCGGGCTTTCCTAGATGACAAAGCAAAGAACTGTGTGTGTGTTCACATGCACGTGGCGGTAAGCACTTCTGCAGGTAACAGTGTGTGTGAAGCTGAGCATGCGTTCATCCTGATGTCCCCAACTCCGATCCATTGCCGTGTGGATCCTTCTACCCTCCTCCCTTACTTGGCTGCAACTTCCCACTCCATCAGTGAGAAACCTGGCCCCTGCCATCCACCATCCATTCGCTTCATTGTCTGATTCCAGTGCTCACGTACAGCAGCGTCACCCAAGAGTTCTTTGACTACTGCATCCCTGGGGATGGCCGTCTGTGCAGTCCTCCACCCCGTTCTCCCTACACACACACACACACACACACTGGCGCACGCATGCGCCCCTTTCCCCTCCTCTCTCCTCTGCCCACCCCCACCCCCAGGCCCCCTGTCCCACCCCAACCCTGGAATTTCTATGCTGGGCGGTTTGTTTCCCCTGGGTTAGTCCATACCCTGCTGGCCTCCCCTTTTTATCTTTCTAAGCAAACACAGTTCCCTTTCTAAGAAATACTCTGGTGTCACCCTTAAAATACCTTCTTTTTTTTTTTTTTAAGTTTATTTATTTTGAGAGAGGGTGTGTGTGAGCAGGGGAGGGGCAGAGAGAGAGGGAGAGAGAATCCTAAGCAGGCCCCACACTGTCAGCACGGAGCCTGATGTAGGACTCGAACTCACAAACTGAGATCATGACCTGAGCCAAAATCAAGCCTCAGACACTTAACCGACTGCGCCACCCAGGTGCCATGAAAATATCTTCTTAAGCTCGATCAGACTCTGGGTCTGGTCTTGGCCTATAGACAGTGAGTGTGCTGGGCCGGCCCTGAGCAGCAGCTCCCGTCGTCAGGCTGGTCTCCTGGTGTCACGGGAGAGGCACCTGGCGTGGACGGCTGACACGACAGCCCGGGTGGACAGGAGCAGGAACACACTAGCAGTCATGGTGGAAAGGGCATGGGGTCAAATTTGAGGGTTATTTCGAAAGTAGAACAGTGGAAGTTCTAGTTGATTGCAGAGGTCAAAGGGGAGAAAAATTAATCACATAAGACTCTCATGTCACATGCTGGGGTGACGGGTCTTCCTGAGGTGTTACTCGATGAAGACTGAAAGCATTTTTCCTCCAGGGGTTTGCATTTTAACGAGACTCCTGGTCTTGAATTTAGAATTGGCAAAGAGGTTTCAAATGCATGCCAATTGCAGCAGCAATGTTGCGGTTGCCCGAAGCAGGAGTTAGGAAGGGCTGCTGCATCCAGACATGGCAGGAAACGTGCTGTGATGTTAGTGACGCCTGCGTGGCTGGGGAAGAGTGGGGCAGGGTCTCCCAGGCCTTTTTTGGTTGTTGTGGTTCTATCTGCAAGCTTCCTTCTAGTTCAGGGATTTTGCGGTTAATTTTACATACTACAACTACCATTGGAGGAGATCATTTTGAGCAAAGCCTCTGTATCGTATCCCGTAGGCATCATCCTTCCTTGTCTAGTCTAAAGACAGTCCTGTATTCCAGACTAAAATAACCAAGGAGCTGGAAGAGAGCCTGGTAACAATGAGTACCTTAAAACTGACCTAGGACTTTGGTCAGAGCATTGTGTTACAAGGCAACAATGGTCAGAGCATTGTGTTACAAGGCAACAGTGAAGTAATCAGTTACCTTAGTGGGTTAGGTATTGGACAGTAAACCATGCTTTTCAGACCTTATGATACTTTACACATTAAGGAAGAAAGCTTAAAATGAGAATTTTTAGGCACAAACAGTGGTCAGGAGAGAAAATTCTGTGTGTGCGTGTGTGCATGTGTACATGTGCACACGTGTAAGCAAACATCTGCATGGGATCTTCAGAAGCAGAGAATGCAAAATACAGCATTCTCATAGGAAGCAGAAAAAGGCTCTTTTTTCTCAATATGCCTTCCTCCTATCTGGCAGGAAGTTGTCATAGTAAATACATAAATCTATGTTTTCTATGATAGTATGCCTTTAATCAGTGTACAACCTGCACAACTGTATGTGGTATACATGGCCAGGAGTGGGGTGAGATGTAGTAGTGACACTGCAAGAAGGGGAGAAGATAGTAAGAAAATGGCTTCCCTGTAAGCATAAGAAGCCATGGAGTCCTGTTCTGATGGGTTTTCTGGTGCACAACTAATGATAACTTAGTAAAGCACATCAAGCAAGCAAGCACCCGAGTCATGAAAAAACATACATGAAATAGTCTGCATCTTCACATCCTCCACGTCCACTTCACTGTCTGGGCCCACAGTCACTGACAGCAGCAGGGTAAGTTGGGATGCGATGGAATGGAATTAAGTCAAGTAGGGAGGAGGTAATCAGCCATGACAGCACCCTGTGCCTATAAAGTAATAAAACCCATAACACAGATGTGAAGATAATTCCACAGACATTTTGAGGAGGTGATAATTTTGAAGGACAACATATATTTAGACATACATTTAAAAAATCAGTTACTTTATGTTTCACTTCATATGCAGCTTCCTAATTGCTTTTAAATTACCGACATCAGGGAAAAGCAGAGACCTTGTGCAGGTAGCAGATCTCTGTCATCAGGGAGTGTCAGAACCAAGGTTGAGATGGGGGGATTTTCCAGGGTTAATGGGATAACAGTGAAGTGTTTGGGCAGAACAAAACCCAGAGTGGGAAGGCAGAAAAGGCAGAAGATTCAGTACAAGTAGATATCAGTTTATTCGTTTTAAAGATAGGTAAGCCTTCTTTCATATACAGGTTCAAGGTGACCCGTGAAGCAGTGATAAAATAGCAGCTCAAGAATTGCCAAAGGACTTCCTCCCTTCATATGCTGGAAGCAACTTGTCCTGAATGCTGGGTTGGCTTAAGGGAGATTTTCACTGGAACAGAAGAACCTCGAAAGAGATATCCCCAGGTGAATTTCTAAATAAAATTAACACTACCCAGGTGTTCAACAGCAGATGAATGGGTAAACAAAATGTGATGTATACACACAATGGAATATTATTCAGCCTTGACAAGGGAGGAAATTCTGACCCGTGCTACAACTTGGG